ATAGATAGATAGATAGATAGATAGATAGATAGATAGATAGATAGATAGATAGATAGATAGACAGATAGATAGATAAGCAGATGGATAGATAGATAGATAGGCAGATGGATAGATAGATAGACAGGTAGATAGATAGATAGATAGGCAGATGGATCTAAGAATCATCAATATAGAGATTATAACTGAACCAAGCTTTCGTTGTCCTAATCAGGCTTCTTTGTGTGGACCTAACACTGCACTATGAACCATGGAAATACAGGCAAAAAATGTTGGCCTCCATCTAGTGGAAATGGGAGCTCTGGGAAACATTGGGCTTACGTCCTTGGGGATGTGCTTAGAAAGAGCAGCCATCTGGTGGGGATAAGGATTGAGATGGGGATGTGAGTAGGGATGGGTAAAGGGATCAGGATGGGAATGAGAAAAGAGATTAAGATGGTGGCCACTCTGGGCACATGTTATTTATAACTCTTATTATTTTGCTCATATGCTTAATGAGAACTAGATCTCTATCAAGGAGAAAGATTTTTCAGACTGGAAGGTCAGACTAACAGTGGTTAACATGGAAATAAAACCTCAAAGAAATAAGGAGATGGTAAAGAAATACCTAAGCCATCCTCAGTGAGTTCAAGTGGGCCAATTATTAAATTTTCAGTATGAGCACTGACACCTCAGAAATGAACAAATGCTACAAATCAGAGCTTGATTTATTGTGAAAGGGCTAGAGAAAATTATAACAATGTAGATTACACTTAAAAATATGTCATGTATAATGTTTTTAGGAGAGCCACCAACACATCCCTGAATAGGTGCCAAAGAATTTGGGTAGGTAAGTGCAATTTTCAGACAAAGGAAGAAAATGTCTGTGTTCTGTAGGCTAGTGAACTGATTTTGACTCCTACCAAAATTCTAGATGGATTTAAAACTGAATGAATGACTAGTAAAAGAGTAATAATTAACGGATCAATGTCTCCTGGAGGGAGATTTCCTTTGAAATCCTTGGCAATTTGTTCTTTAGCATTTATTTAACGAAT